GCCCATAGGTGTGTTTAGTGGCCCCCCCCCCCCCCTTCGCTGTGTAAAGCTGGCCACACACCTTACAATTATCTGCAGATGTTCTGGGGTCAGATGGAAAAGGTGCCACAGATTCCTCCACCTGCACTTACCTGTGTGGATGGAGTAATCTCCGCCTGGGCCGATCTGTGGCACTTTTTCCATCTGACCACCGAAAATCTTCAGATAATTGTAAGGTGTGTGGGCAGCAAGTCAGCGAATGTGGCAGTGAATGTGCATAGTAGGAGAAGGTGAGGACAGAGCACCAGCGGCCATTGTAATGAATGAGTATGGGGTGCCCAGCCCCCCCCTTGGTGAATGAGTATGGGGTTCCCAGCCCCCCCTTGGTGAATGTATGTATGGGGTGCCCAGCCCCTCCCCTTGGTGAATGAGTATGGGGTGCCCAGCCCCTCCCCTTGGTGAATGAGTATGGGGTGCCCAGCCCCCCCCTTGGTGAATGAGTATGGGGTTCCCAGCCCCCCCTTGGTGAATGTATGTATGGGGTATCCGTCACTGAAAGGTTATTTAAACACCTCAGAACAAAAAAACACAGGTTTGTGACAGGTTCTCTTTACACACTCCAGAGAGAGCAATACCGTCTGTACTGTTCACAGCAGCCAATCAACTTCTCGCTGTCATCCCGTGAAGACATGAGAGCTGAAACATGATTGGTCGCTATGAGAACCATAAAAACGTTGACTGGGAGGGCCCACATTTCCCGGCCCCTCCCACCGAGCCCTGTTAGTGGGCGAGCTGGAGGGAGGGGGGATCCCAAGGTTGACGTTTGGGGCGGGGCTAATAGAAGCAAAGGTTGCGCATGAGACACAGGTTGGTGGGCGGGGCTCGTTGCGGTGACTGACAGGCTGGGCGAAAATGTAGGCGTGTCTCGGTGATGCAGGTGAAGGTCTGTGGGCGGATCCTGGTGACTTTCGTTGCAGAGATTGGCCAATGGGCGGGTTCCGTCGGTGCAGGAGGCAGGCCCATGGGCGGGGCTCGCCGTAAGATGGCGGGGTGAAAGGAGAAGATGGCGCTGTGGGGGTCAGAGTTGTTCTCTCAGTTCTGGGACCTGGTCGCGTCTCTGGGCTCGGAATTCACTGAAGAGTGGGACAGGAATGACCTGAGATCCGCCATCTTCCGCCTACTGTTGGCCTGGCTGCTCCTCAGTCTTACCGCTATCCACCTGGCCTGGAGGAGCTACGGGCCCACCGTGACCGCCTTCTACTACCGGCAGGGTGAGAGAGGAACCCCGATGTGCACATTAATCATTCGCTGAGGGGAGTCAGGAGACGCTCTACAGTGTAGGAAAGGTTTTCTGAAATCACGTGACAGTGGGGGCGGGGCATGAAGAAAGGGGAGTCACCATCAAGAGGTGCCTATGCAACTATATGTGTAGACCTTCCCCCCCACAGTCTACCAACATCTGCTGGGGGAGAGGGACCACTGCACCCATTGGCTGTAGATCCCCGACAGCCTCTCCCCAATTTGTTGTAGACCCTTGATAGCCCCTCCCTCATCCTTTTATTGGCTGTAAACCCCCTGATAGCCCCGCCCCCGGTGAGCAGACATAACACCTCTTCTCCGGTTTCAGGTCCGGGTGGACAGAATGGCGGCACTCCGGAATACCCCTCCCACTTCCCCATCTGGTGAGTAGCAGTGCATGATGGGAAAGCTCCAGACACAACGTCCCACCCACAGCTCTTGCCATCGGTGGGGGGTGGGGCCAGGACATCACAGGGTCTGCGTGGTGGGCGTATACATAAGGCGGTGCATTTGGTTTCCTGGGTTTGAGCAGGGGCGGGTCCTTGCAGATAATCCCTCCCACTCTGCCATGGCACTCTGTGCTCATTGGGCGCCATAGAAGATGTACGGCATCTGGCGGCTCCTCGCAGGACGCCATCCCTGTATCCAGGGGATCCACAAGTGGCCCTTTGAGTGGGTACTACACTAGAGGTGTCTGCCCCTGAATGCTCCGCCCCCTTCTGCCATGCCCCACCCCTTATTACCATTATCTACCTGCAGATGTAGCAGCCTGCCTCATCAGCCATACATGGGGGGAGGGGTATATGAGTGTGTCCCCCCCGGATGTGACGCAGTCGCCCGTAGTAACGGCGGTCTTTCTCCCGCAGGGAAAGTTCCAGCGCAGAATCCCTGAAGAGCCACCAGGAGTAACCCCCGGCAACGGAGGATATGACTGACGCTGCATCCTCTTCCCCGGCTCGCTTCCATCCTGATCGCTGCACAGGAAGTCTTACCCATAGACTCCACACTGACATTATGGACCGTCATCTTCATCCTGCAGAATGTATACAGGGACAGGTGTGACACCCCCCC